GGGACTGCGGAGTGTCGACTCACTTAAGCTCACAGCAGCTGTGATCACCTGCAACACCCTGTGATGAATGGGGCACAGGCTCACAGGGTCTCACCCTGGGGATTTATACACAGACAACAGCTGATGGGGGTGGAGAGACGGTTTCTTCAGTGGTGTAGCCACTGGTAAAGTGCCCATCTCCTGTAAACAAACCTGCACCCAGGTACTGTAAGACGCCCTGAAGACGCTCATTGGGACACACACACACACACACACACACACACACACACACACACACACACACACGACAGTACGGGAGGGGCATAGTTGGGAAGGGGAAGGGGATTGGGATTGGAAGGAATGGGGAAGAGGTTAAAGGCGGTAAGAGGGAGAGATAAAAATGTATGATTGTACTTTATGTTATTATTTATATTATATTATGTAAATAATTATGCACATGTATGTATATATAATAGGGAGAAATCAAAATATAATATGTACATGTATGAAAGTATCGTAATGAAACTCATTATTATATATGATTCATATATGATAGCAACAATTAAAAAAGAGATTTTGTTCTCTTTTACCAATCTCTAACATTTAGAGATGAAAGGCTTTAGGTGGCTGTAACGGCTCCGGACACTGCTCACTGGTGCAGAGTCAGCCGCCACGGGGCCTCAACACCCCAGTCCTGCAGCAAGGGCACCTGCCAAGGCAGGAAATGCTGCAACTGTGTGACACTGGCTGATAAAGTCAAGAAGAGCACCATAGGGTGGCAAAACCGTCACAGGAGCCACATCCTCCGTGGCAGAAAACATACATCTGCGGAACGTGTTATCTGTTGTGGAAGATGAACCGCAATCCTACATGCTGCCCCTGTTACTGATAGAAAAATACGAAGACAGAACATTAGGGAATTCCAACACTAGTTTTTAAAAACTACAAAGGGGTGGACACTTAAAAGATGAATGACTGGTTAACGAGTTGGGGGCTGGGGCGGCGCTCAGTGGGTAGACTGTTTATCATGCACGCAGGGAGATCTGAGCTTGAGAAGTTATACGGGCAGTTTTTATATTTCCCCCCAAAGTTTTAAAGTTTTGCTTTATCACAATTTATTTTTTTAATTTATTTGTAACTAATTATGATTTAGGTATCTATTTATTTGAGTAAATAATTTTGCTACTTCTACGTACCGATATGCCTTGGGGTCTTCACTTGTGAAACCGGAGTCCATGGGGCTGCCCAGAGGAGGCTTTGAAAAGGACTTAGGATGGAGAACCAAGTGGTCACGGGAGAGTCATCATGACCAACTGTGATGCTCAGAGACTTCAATCCATCCCCCGGCCCCAGCTCCTTTCCTGTCTACCTTATGTTTTCAGGAATTCCCATAAGGGGTTAGTGTCCGGTTACATTTTCATAGGTTCACTGAAGTGCAACTTTTGAAGTAAAAAGAAGACAAAAACTTTTCCTAGCAACGCTGGAATGTAAACCTTCAACCTCGAGACTAGAAGCGCTGCTTTCTCCCACTAGATGGCAGTGTTCCTCTGCAGACCAGACTGGCCGCCCAGGCTCCCTGACAAGGTGGTGGTCTCCTCGAAAGGACACCGGGCACCAGGCAGCTGCTTCCACTCAAGAAGCCCAACGAGAAACTGTGCGGCTTCTCTTTATCTAGAAGATGCCTTCCCCCCTCGAGATGCCTCGAGGCTGACGTACAACTAGGGAAGCTGAGAGTTTGGTCCTTAGTGGAGGGTATGATTTTAAGTGTTGACCTCAGTGAAAGGTCTTGGGAGCGGGCACCCTTAGGAGGGAGTATCTAAACTCCTGATTGAAAGTGGCATTTCTTTTCCTTTCTTCGTGCATTTGTCTTGAACAATCTGGATTGTGACAGAAATGCATTGCTGCTTCAGGTGTGAGCACGACTCAGTGAGGAGGACTGTTCGCCTCACAGGAGGCTTATCTTGCCTCTTCTTTAAACAAACAAACAAATTAAAAAAAAACAGACGTGAGGAAAAAGCGAACTTTGCAGAGCATCCCTTTCACATGGCCACCTTCATCTCTTGGTATCTATGGAGACAACACTACTTTGAAACGTGTGCTGGAATCTTGCTGTGTACACAGAGGTCCTTGGTGGGTTCTGAAGAAATGCTGTTCCACTGCTGTATAACACACACACACACACACACAGAGAGAGAGAGAGAGAGAGAGAGAGAGAGAGAGAGAGAGAGAGAGAGAACCAAGGTCTCACTGTATAGCCCTGGCTGGCCGGGAACTCACCATGTAGACCAGGCTCCAGGCTAGCCTCAAACTCACAGAGATCTTCTTGCCTCTCCCAAGCGTTGGGACCCAACCATGGTGTCCCACCATGTCCTGCCAATGTATAATCATCATTAACACCACAAAATGGCACTGCCAACCTGTGTAAGAAGGGCTGTATTGTTAGTCTCCTCTTCCTCTTTCTCCTGCCCTTCCTGTGTGTTGCCAGACACTGAGCCCAGGGCCTCCCAAGTGCTCTACTACTGGGCTATCTCTAGCTCTTGTTTTTTTTTAAACTAAAATGTTTTATGTGGTTGTTTGTTTTATGAATTAATCCATAATATCACTGCCTATTTTGTTATTTTATCATTCTAATAACCTGTGGTTATTAGAAAAATTGGAAGAAAAAATATAATCATCCCTAATTCTATTCCCACATACAAGCTCCACACTAATTTTTTTCTCAGGATGAAAAAAATAGTCATTATTTTAATTACCAGGAGCATTTTCTCCCTTATCAATAAATGTCTTCAAATTGGTAAACTCTGGAGAGAGACTGCCTGATTTGATTTCTGTATCTAATATTGACCTTGGTTCATTTGTTTGTTTTATAAGACCAAGTCTCCCTGTGTAGCCCAGGCTGGCTTCAAATTCCTGATCCTCCTGCCTCAGCTGCCCAAGAACTTGCTTCTTTTATCTGTACAGCCGAAGTAATAAGATAACCATCCTCGTTCATAGCCTTGGTTGGGAGATAATGTCTGCTGTGTGTCTGCTACAATACCAAGCACATAGGAAATACCTCAGAGGTGTGGCTCTGTGGTAAAACCCTGCTTAGCATTCACTAGAGCCCAGGTTCAATCCCCAACACCACAAAGAGAAAAAAGCCCAGCAAATACTAGTCTTTATATCATCATCATTATCAACTAATTTTATATTGTCATCTTATCAATCAAACTTCTTTTGGCTACTACGAAATTACTCATTATTACACAATTTGGAAAATAGGAAGAAATATAAACTGAGAACACAAGAGCTGGAGAGATGGCTCTGTGGATAAAGTAATTATCGTGCAGGTATGGAGACTTGAATTCAGACTCCAGCACCCACAGAAAAGCTGGCCCAGCAGCCTGTGCCTGGAAACCCTGCCCTGAGGGGCAGAGAGGCCGGCCCTATTGGGTAGCCAGTCTGGTCAACACCATGAGCTTCAGGTTCTGTGAGAAGCCTTGTCTCTAATGTGAAGAAACAAAGACATTCTGATCTCAACTTCTGACCAAAACAAGTGAACGTGTTACATGATAATATGAAAGGTCAAGCTGGGAATGGGGGGTGGTACATGCTTATAACTCCAGCCCTTGAGAGGCAGAGGCAGGGGGATCATGAGTGTGAGATCAGTCTGTACTTTATAGTGAGTCTTTATCTCAGGAAGCCAAGTAACACCTGAAAATATTTGTGTATGATCTCACTACCAAAGATGATGTCACTACCCAGAAATGATCCAGTTTTGGGGTGATGCTATTTAAAAATTAGTCCAGATGGGGTCATACTACACAGTTTACTTTGTTGTTGTTTGTGGCTTATCATTAAATGTTAAAAATGTGATTTTTGTCAACTGAAAGATAATCAGTTGCATGAGTATTTTATATATATTTTTTCTTACCAGATGTTTACAAGAAAATGACTTTTGGGTTGGCTAAGAGGGTCCCACACTGATGCACATAAATAAGAGGACCTTGCAATTGGGAGGGAAGGGTGTGGAAGGTGAAGCTAAGCATTAAGAAGTCAATAAGAAGTAGACAAAACAGCTGGGCAGTGGTGGTGCACGCCTTTAATCCCAGCACTTGGGAGGCAGAGCCAGGCGGATCTCTGTGAGTTCGAGGCCAGCCTGGTTTACAGAGTGAGTTCCAGGACAGCCAGAGCTACACAGAGAAATCCTGTCTGGAAAAACCAAAACCAACAAATAAATGATAGATAGATAGATAGATAGATAGATAGATAGATAGATAGATAGATAGATAGATAGACAGACAGATAGATAGATAGATAGATAGATAGATGTAAACATAAAGAATGTGGAGGGGGAAATGGCCGCATTCTGGGTGAAGAGCTCTAACACAGATGTTCCAGAAAACGTTCCTTTTCACCTGTTCTGTGAAAACTGCAGAACTCAAGAGAAAAGAAGAAGAAGAGGAAGAAGAGAAGGAGGAGGAAGAAGAAGAGGAAGGAGTAGCAAGAGCAGCAGATGCATCGTGTGGTCACTTCCTATTTTTCCATTTCCTCTTTGTGCAGTAGCTATAACCATTACGAAATCCCAGAGAAGCAACTGATTTTAGCTCACTGCAAGGGGGAGGGGGGAGGAGAGGGTGGACAGACACTGGATCAAGAGATGGTTCTGGGGTCTGGTGCTACTGTGTACTAACCAGGCAAACATAAGCAGTTCTACTGAGCCCAAACCCAAAGGACAAACACGGAAGGCTGGAGGCTGGGGCACGAACTCCTGGAGGGCCTGGAGCCATGACTCCTGGTTTGCCATTGGGGCATTAGGCTTGGCATGCAAAGGGGTACCTCCACTTTCCATCCCTGTCCCCCTGATTTTGTGGGTGAGCCGTAACTGCAGGCACCTAACACTGGTGTGAGAGAGGAGGCTTGAAACACTACTAACAGAAAGGCAGGTAGTTAGCAACTTGAAATGTCGGGAATGTACATAGGCGTGTGTGTACACTGGGGAGGTGCGTCTAAGACCCGGGCAAATTTTCCACCTCATTTACCTGTTGCCTGTACTTCAGCACCACCACCGCTTTAGAGCTGCGCAGGAAAGCCAAGACCCCTCTTGGCAGATGGATAGAAAGGGCTCCATGCCAAATGATCCGGATGAACCTGCCAGAGCCTCGTGCTGGCAGGAGAGATTGCCCTCCGGGCTCTGATTTCTCCCCAGAGGGCTCTGGGACGCTCGCGTACTTGAGTTTCGGTGCCAGTTTGGCGTTCTGCTTCAATGCCGTCAATATGGCTGCAATCACACGCAGTTACTTCCGCTTTTCCCCACGCAGCCTCAGTCATCAGCGCCGCATTCCCACCCTGCAAAGTTTAGAACGACGGGCCGTGCACAGCCACGCTTCTTTGCGAAAGGCTGTTGCTCTTTTCCGTGTAATTCGATGGTGCTCGAAGTATGAGGGAAAATGTTAGAAATGCAAACAATCAGTTGTTTCAAAGGCTCCATGGATTCCTGGGTTGCTCCCTGCTCTGGGTAGGCTGCTGAGCCAAACTCCCAGAAGGGATACTGCTCGCAGGCCCAGGGGCTTTGGGGTGCTTATGGTGTCCCGACTCAGCCACCCTTTCCTGATGGTGGTTGGAAATGTAAGAAGGCCGCCTTATAGCTGTCTTCCCAGCCTCATCCTGGTGCAAACTTGTATAATTGTCCTCTGCCCTGTTGACAGTTTACAGGAAGCTAATCATGCGCAGGTCCAGACTGATGATGAAACATGAAACATCTCAGTATATTTCAGAATCAGATTGAGCAACGAGAGGCCTCGTCTGCTGTGGGGGATTGGAGAAATAATGGACAAGAGAAGACAAAACTTTAAGAAAAAAGGAGGTGGGGGGGGAGGAATAGGATAAAAACCGGCATTGTAAACATATTTCAAATTCATTTGCTGTAACTTTGGTTTCCTTTTTGTGAAAAGGAAGAGAAAAATCACATCCTCAGAGAGTGTCTCGTTGCATGGGGAATGAGCTACAATTCAAGGGCATCTTTTAAAAACTTGTAACTTGGGGCTAGGGAGGTGGCCCAGTGGTTCAAAGCACTTGCCCTTGCAGAGGACTTGGGTTTGGTTCCCAGAATCCTCACATCAGCTCACAACCGCCGATAACTTTAGTCCCAGGGGATCTGACACTCTCTGTGGCCTCTTCAGGAACTGCACTGCACATAATACACAGACATACATGTAGACAAACACTCATACATACAAAATGAACATAAAGCCACAAAAAACTTATGAAACTATTTTGAAAAAGATCCCAAATTATGTAGCTATTAAATGCCCACGTAGAATCATAGCTCAAATATGATCTTTTTAATATTATACTGAAATGAATGTATCAACAACAGAGCATGTTACGTTTAACTTGGAAGATTTGTGATCTTGGATATTGATGCCTATTTGGGGAAGAAGCACAAACTAATGATAAATTGTGAGAGGTTATAAAGCTCCTTTTAGACAAACCATATGTTTAAAAAATTCTGACAATTTCACCCACATACCATGCATTTTGACACACACACACACCACACACACACACACACACACACACACACACACACACACTCACTCCTTACTCTCTTTCGTCCATCCATTCTCCCTCTTCTTCCCGACAAGGTCCTTTCCTGTTTTCATGTGTTTTCTGCCTGTTTTTTGGCTTCTTTATTCTTTGGTGACCACAGAATTTAATTGGGGCTGCGTGCATGGACACGGGTGGAGGCTATTTACCAGAGTGCTCACAGCAACTCCCCAGCCTTTATACCACCAAGGAAAGTTTCAGCTACCACTAGCACCTCAAGGAGAGGTGGGCCCCCATGAGCTCCTCCCCACCCATGATGGGACGGCTGGTCCCATCTTGTGCAGCTCTTCCCCAGGTAATCGCAGCTATTGTGAGTTCATGAGGACAACAGTCACGCCATGTCTAGAAGATGGTATTTCACAACACCCCCCCCCCCATCCTCCAGCTCTCACATTTTTTTTTCCCTGCTCTGTCTTCCAGGTTGTTCTCTGGGCCTTGAAGGGGGTGATAGAGCCATCTCATTTAGAACCAATATTCAACAGTCACTTACACTCCACGCCGTGGCCAGGTGTGTATATTAGTGTCTTGGCTAGTTTTATGTCAACTTGACACCAGCCAGAGTCCCATTTGAATGGAGGGAACCTCAATTAAGAAAATAGCTCCATAAGTTCCAGATGTAGGACATTTTCTTAATTAGGGATTGATGGGGTAGGGCCCAGCCCATTGTGGACGGTACCATCCTTAGGCTGGTGGTCATGGGTTCTATAAGAAAGCAGGCTAAAACTGAGCATAGTGGCACACACCTTTAGCCCCACCCAGCACTGGGGAAGCAGAGACAGGAGGATCTCTGTGAGTTCAAGGCCAGCCTGATCTACAGAGTGAATTCCAGTATAGCTAGAGCTATATAGTCAGACCTTGTCTAAAAAGAAAAAAAAGAGAAAAGGAAAGAAAAAAATATATAATCAGTCTGAGCAAGCCATGATGAACAAGCTAGTAAGCAGCACCCCTCCATGGCCTCTACATCAGCTCCTGCCTCCAGGTTCCTGCCCTGTTTGAGTTCCTGTCCTGGCTTCCTTCACTGATGGACTACAATGTGGAAGTGTAAGCCAAATAAACCCTTTCCTTCCCAACTTGCTTTTTGGTCACGGTGTTTCGTCACAGTAATAGTAACCCTAAGAAAATCAGCTTCAACTCTGACCCACTGCAAACAGCAGCTCCTCTTACCAAGGACATATGTGTGCAAACCTAACGAGTAAGAAGACAGTTTGATACCATGTCCATTTAGAATCCAGTGCTAGGTTCCCCTCTGCGACTTCCAACAGCTCTTGACCAGGCTTCTAACACCAGACCTGAATTCTATCCTGGTGAGCAAGCCTCACATCCAATCAGGAAAACATACAGTTTTTTTACGACACTATTTCACCAGTGGATATGTCTCATCTGGGAGGTTGATGTTGTAGCTTGTGGGGGTCACAGCTGTGAAAGGCCACGGATGGCTTCCCTCATTCCCCAGCAGCCTTCACCAGAGCTAAACGGCAAGGGAAAACTTCCGGCTAACTTCCGCCATGACTTCTCAAAGCATGTGGTGTTTTGAATAGATCTCGCCACTTCCTTCTGGTGGGCGACCAACAGAAATGACCGCTTTGATGGCTTCTGTCGCCTCCCTGACCAAAAAGCCACGGGAAGGTGTCCAGGCCTGACATTTTTGTTTACTAATCTATATGAACCGTGTGTTTTAAAAGACAGAATTTAAATCTAAAAGTGAAATTTCTGCACTTAAGTAGGAAAGAACAATTTCATTTTTACCTGAAAAGTCCTCTCTTGGTTGCTACTTAGCTTTTTTCAGATTTTTATCAAGTACACCACAGCAGAAGGCTTAAAAGATGAAGGGCCTTAAAGCTGCATTAAATTGTCAATTTGTTTGAACAAACACGCTGTTTGTATTGATTAGCTCAAATAGCAAAGCGTGTTTACATCTGTTTCTTCTTGTCTACCCCAAGGGAAGCAGTAAGCAATGGAAGTTTATCTCGTTTCCGCTGATGTGCCGTGTAGACGGGAACACACGTTTCTAAACAAACTTCCTTGGATAGAACTTCAGCTCCATGACCAGGCCAGTGGGCTCCGAGCACCCCACTCCCTTGTCTGTGGAGCAGCGAGCTTGCTGGTCCTCGACAGCCTGATCCCCCCCACCACCACCACAAGCACTGTGGGCAGACTTCTGCCTTTCAAGATGCTCCTCCATCCAGGCATGAATTATAGAATCCAGATTCTGCCATTGTAGAATCCGGAAGGCTGAGGCTGGAGGGTTGCTGTGAACTCGAGGCCAGCCTGGGATACAGAGTGACTCCCTATCTCAAAAACACTCAAACCCCAAACCAAGAACAAAAAACAAACAAACAAACAAACAAAAAATCAATGACACCACAACAAACAAACAAACAAAACCAAAACAAAACAGCACCCAACCAAAATTGTCTACCCACCCTGTGTCTCCTGGGAAGGCAGGATATACCACTGAACGAGCTCAGGCTCTGTGGTCAGACAGGCCTGAACTCCCATGGCACCTCAGGGTCTGCGTTTCCTTAAACTTCAGCGTTGTTCTATAAACCGGGGCCTGGACCTCACATACAGCCTAGAGGGTCCTGTGAGATGTAAGAAAAGTAACTGGCATAATGTTTAGCCATTTTCCCCCCTCCGTGTGGCCCTGGCTGTCCTGGAACTCACCACGTAGCCCAGGCTGGCCTCAACCCTGAGATCTGCCTGCCTCTGTTGGGGTTAAAGGTGTGGGCCACCACCGTCTGCTTTGTGTTTAGCCATCTTTGTACCTACAAAGTAAGGCACTGTTTTTGTAGATTTCTATGATCCCAGCAGGTCTAACACGGTTTGCACAAATTCGGTTGTCCAAGGTATAGGATTCTACTGAACTTCTGTATTTCTACATGCAAGACGACTCATTAAGGCACCATCAAGGAAAGGGTGGTCAGTTAAGGGGACCAGCGAGAGGGTAGGGGACAGATAATAACAAGGTACGATGACGTGTATGATATATGCATGAAAATGCCATAATGAAACCCATTACCTTGTATGTTAAATTTTAAAAAATCATTTCAAGGGGGCGGGAAGACGGCTCAGTGGCTAACGTACTGCTGTAGCAGAAGACCTGACAACCACGTGTAACTCCAGCTCTGGGGGTCCAATGCCTCTGGCCTCTATGGGCACCTGCACTTGCGTTCACATATCCACACACAGACACATTCATACACGTTAAAAAATAAATCTTAAATTCTAATTTTAAAAATGAACAAGATAGGATAAGAAGTGGGCAATGCAAGTGCTTTGAGGCATTAAGCATCTTTGTAAACATGTTTTCTTTCTCACATTAGCCTGGTGAGGAAGACAATACTGCACTTCCACAAATGAAGCAACTGAGGGCGAATAAGTTAAAGTGAGATCACACTGGTGGAATATGAGCCGAGGGTTGTCATTCTAATGCTATTTTTAAGTATATCTAAATGCTAACACTCCAATGTTACAATTTCAGTACCACGCTCAAAAAATTGTACAAGGCTACTGGTCTTCACATATAATTCCCCCCCCCCCCCCCCCCGCTGGGAATTAAACCCTGAGCCCTGCATTGGTAGGTAAGTGTTCTATCACCAAGCTGCGTTCCCAGCTTGGAAGCTGAAACATGGATGATCGAGGCCTGTAAATGCTTTCATACTTAAGTGGCTCTTTCTTCTTCCTTGGGGAAGCTGCCCTCTTTTAAGAGTGACCTTGATGCTGTGTTTTTCATGAGGAAACACAGCATTCAAATTTCACCACTGATCAGACCGGGCAAGTGGCAGGAACTTACATAATTAGATGATATGTTTTACATCAAGATTCTGCTGGAGAGTGCCTAGAAAGTCTTTGGCAAAAGGCTACATCCACATGAAGCCAGTGGTAATGTAAATCGGTTCAATCCATTTGAAAATTAGGAAGAAATTGGGATTTAAGAACCGTAAAAATGTTTGGTTTTTGATTCAGTAATTCTGCTGGCATGTCTTCTGGGCCTTCGGCTAAGCTCAAGTGCAGTATCAGTGATTCCCTCTGGCCAGAATCCTTGGCAAAGAATCTGAAGACATTGAAGGCTATATATTTCTATATATTTGAAAATATTCACTAGAATCTTTATTTTTAGTTTCAAAAATTTGGAAATGGTCTTAATCATAAATACCACTTGTATGGT